ATTTAATAAAATGCTGGGTTTTTAAAATAGAATGTCAAAGACAGCATGCAAAAATGTAGCAATAAAACAAAGAATTATAACAGCAAAATAAAAAATCAACAACATTACAACACCTGGGACCTATAAAAGTAAACACAACTTTCCTTGAAGACAAAATATGACAAGACAATCTGAGAATTATTGGTCTCCCAGAAAAGCACAATAAAATAAAAAGCTTAAATATCATACTTCAAGTTTACAAGAAAAATGTCACACAATATTGAAAACAAAGAGCAAACTTACCATCAATAAAATCCCAGGACAGTGCTGGAGAGAATTTAAGTTCAACTAAACCAGAAAGCAGCAAGCCATAAAGGAACTCCCAAAGAACAACATTCCTGGACCAGAATGATTTACAAGTGATTTCTACCAAATATTTGAAAGTCAATTTTCCCAATGCTACATAAATTATTATCATTATTAATAGCTTCCATTTATATAATTAGGTTTGCAAAGTGCTTCACAAATATTATCTCATCTTATTCTCACAACCCTGGAAGGTAGGTGCTATTATTATCCTCCTTTTACAGATGGGGAAAGTAAGGCAAAAAAAGGGTTAAGTGACTGGCTCGGGGTCACACAGCTAGGGAATATCTAAGGCAGAATTTGAATTCAGGCCCTCCTGATGCCAAGTATAGCACTCTACCCACCCATCTAGCTGCCTTATTCTCAAAATAATTACAATGCATAAACTATATAGGAATTAACCTACCAAGATGGTTTATCAGCCTTATACAAATGCAACTACAAAATAACATTTACATAAATGATGAAAGACTTAAATAACTGGAGAAAAAGTCAATCTATCTTGCTGGAACACACCAATATAAGAAAAATAATGATGCAGGGTACCATAACTAACATATTTGATATAACAATCCAATTTCTAAATGAGGATACTTTGTGGAGTTAAACAGCATAATAATATATGTATATATTGTGTCTGTGCTATCTAATTCTGTAGATAGTTGTCTGTTGTCCATCCTATCTATATTTATATGAGAATAGAAGGTAAAGATCAAGGGAAATCGTTTTAAAAGGAGGAATGAAAGGGGTCTAGCTAGCATCACTGATCTCAAATTATGTTATAAAGCAATATCACCAGTTTAAAAAAATATAGCAAAATTGTTCAGTGAAATGTACTATATAACCTAGACAACAGAAGAAACAGCATCCTAATGTTTTTCTTCCACAAACCAAAAATTTAAAACTACATGGAGAGGTCTAATTCTGCTTAACAGGAAATATAACTGGTTTGAACCAGTATCTTATAACATATATTATTTAATAAATTTTGAATGGATAAATGATCTAAACAGAAAAGTTCACAACTTAAAAGGGGCAGAAATCAGATACAGGAGAGAGGAGCTTACGAAATCCAAAATATACAACTTTGATTGTATAAATTTAAAGAGCTTGTAGTTACTAGAACTGTGATGTCATTGCCATAAGGTATATCTGAGTGGAAAAAAAAACACCTACCTATAAGGTATGGCAGTGCCTAGAACAATGAGATATTATATGACTTGCCTGGATCACTCAGACAGCAGATGTCAGAAGTAGGACAGGTCTTCTTGGCTTCCAAGGCAGCTATCAATCCACTATATTTTGATTACATAAATTTTAAAAGCTTATACACTAATAAAATCAATCCAACTAGAATAACAGGACAATATGTTATCAATGTGTGTGTGTGTGTATATATATATATATGTATATATAACTTTTGTGTGCATGCATATTCAGTAAATATACTGAAAATTCCTGCATCAAAAAACTCTAATAAAAGTCTAACCAATATAATTAATGAATTTTGACATAAAAGCATTAAAAATTAGCAAAAATATTGTATATAAAAAATTTACCTATGGTAAATTTTTATATACAATATTTTTGCTAATTTTTAATGCTTTTATGTCAAAATTCATTTATATATATATATACACACATATGTATATATCTCCTTACGAGAATTTGATGAGGAAATTCTGGGGTAGAGTAGCCCTAGAAGGATTATTTTCTTCATATTAAGGATTCCAGAAGTAGGTATGCTGGGCTATACAATTCACTACAGTGACTAGTGTTTTTCTTAACGTAAGGTATAATCTGTGAACCTTAAAGTCCTTAGATGGAAACTCTGAAAAAGGAGCACAGGAATGCCTAGGGAGAGGAGCAAAGATCTTTAGTTAAAGTTTCTGGGCTGGATACTACAGATTATTATTTATCATTTTATTAATATCATTTGAACCTTGCTTTATGTGGCTCAAACACTGTCTAACCCAAAAGAGCTTACTGTAGAGGTCAGGCTGACATCAGGGAAGACAGATAGTTTTAAGGAATACACCCCATACCAGCACTTGTTTTGGGTCTCCTCACATCTTGTTTTGGGTTCACCTAAAGCTTTTTGTTTTGAGTTCCCCAGAAAAGATCAACTTACATGCTGAAAAACATACACACACACTCACACACACTGTGTGTCTCAAAGTGCCCTTCTCTTGGAGAATACCTACTGGCAAATGTCCTTACACCCTCGTCTAAACTCTGTATAACATGACCTCATAGATACTTGTGAAGGGAGCCACACCTTTTTTACAGCTCTTTCTACTCGATGACCTAATAAATTTCTTTCTAAAATTATTTCATATTTTGGAGGTTTATTCTTGTGAACAAAAATATAGTACAAAAAATACTGAACCCAAGAGATCCCATCATCCTAACAACCCTAAGGTGTGGAAGATGTACAGTGACTTACCTGGTGGTTGGGGGACAGAAATGGTACTAGTTGGAGGTGGATAAGAAGAATGCTACAATAGATAACCTATCACTGAAATGATCCATGTGTGATTGAGCAATTATATGTGTGTGTGTATATATACATATACATATACATATACATATACATATACATATACATATACATATACATATACATATACATATACATATATATACATATATATCTGGTAACAAATGATAAACAGATACTGCCATAAATGCTCACCTCAATAAGGGAAAGTAAAACTTTCAGGAATATTTGGCTTCATTAGATATATAACTCATACCCTCTATATTCTATTTCACATCTCATTAAATCTGTTGAAAATTATAGCACATGTGTCCAGCACTTTTAATTGCTTTCTCAATTCCTTAACATACTATAAACAGAAATAATGACTTGTTATTCTACTGCTATAGATATCACAAATTTCTGCTAGGAAAATTTCAAAATGGAAAATCATAATCAGCAATAACAAAATTCCCAAATTGATCCTTAGGTGGGGTGAAAAAAATCATGGATCTTATGTAAGTCTCTGGTCAATTAAATTAATATGGTTTCTCACTTCCCTAAATTTTAATATAAAAGATCTTGAAGGATTTTATGCATGTCATTTAATTAGTTCTTACAGGAATGAAGAATTGTCCTAATACCCAGTGCAATGTTGTACTCAATGTATTCTGATCCTTTTTATTAGTTCATTGACATAGCACTTTTTATTATAGTACATAAATTATATAATAAATGAACTACACATTTTGACACACAAACACTACCAAAGAGACAGAAAGTGACATTTGGTTTCCATGATATCAGAATCCCTCAATGCCTGATAAGTAGACTCATATTTTCATATTTAACCCATGTTCATTGAGATCATTCAACTCTATCCTCAGGAAACCTTGACAACTGCCAAAAAATATCACAATGAAACCAGTGGGTATCACTATGTAAATTCTCAAGTATGATACTCATTTTATGTATTAATTCTTATCTTCTCCTTACTATGCTGCTCACCCACTCCCTTCAGTCCTTAGAGAAAAGGCTAGAGATATGAAGAAGCTCACATTAATAACCAGGTACATGCCACTCTGACTTTATAATCAATGACTGATCTAATTACAGCACCCCTTACAGGACAGCACATCTAACACAGCATAATCTAGTGCCTTCATCTCACTTCACATTAAAACAAAGACTAGCATTTGTATTTTCTCATATATTAGTTGGTGTTTATTATTTACTCGCCCTTTTTTCAAAGTAATATTCTCATAAGTATATGAAGGCAGCTAAACAGTGTAATGGATAGAGCATTGGACCTGGAGTCTAGAAGACCTGAGTTCAAATCTTCCTTAGATAAATTTATTTCAACCCTAATTTATTCATCTCTAAAACGGGGATAATAATAGCCCCTACCTCAAAGGCTTGCTGTGAAGATCATATGAAAAGAGCTATATAAAATGCTAGCTATTGGCATCATTCGTATATGTATTTGCTCCCATCTACAATGCAAATTATTTGAGGGCAAGGATAATCTCTAATAATTCTGTGGATCTTCTTTACCACCCATCACAGTATTATGAACAGAAAATAAGAAGAGACAGAGAAAGAGAGAGATCATTACTATCTATTCATCATATTCTTTAAAAGTGATGTCTAGGATGGCATATTATAGATACAGCATTATCTCTGATGATCCTTTATTAATAATTATAATTATAATACCTACTCTCAAAAACCAACTGATAATCCATATGGGGAGGATAATCCATTTAGAACATGGCAAAGATACCAATGACAAAGTATTGGAATTCCACTGAAGTAGTATAGTCAATCCTATCACATCCCAACCCCCCATTCATTCACCTTAGGGAATGCGGTACCTAGTCAAATAACTCCTCCCTGATAATTCTCACACCTTTATTCTTGCCACTTTATTAAAAACAACAGGATTTCTCCCCCAAAATTCTCCTTCTCCATAATGTGGATGTGATTCTCTGGCTCTTACAGTTAAAAGTATTACCTATTTACTGACCAAAAAAAAAACAAAACAACCTAATGAGGTCCCTTGTTCCCACCAAGTGGATCTACTCTCACCTCTGAGCCTGACAAGAGGCTTCCACCTAAACGCTACCCTGCAGCAACACTTCCAATCCACCACCTAGGTCACGTTTGCAAGGCTTACCTTCTCTAATATTCACATTCCTAAGAAGAAAAAACAGAATAAAAATTATAACAATAAACAAATTCTATAACATAAGAGACCCAAAGGACAAAATTCCTTCAGAAATCCAAGACTTCTTTATATTTTTTGTGTCATATTAGGATTCTATATTGAAATACAATTACCAAAATTTTTAAAAAGAGAACTCAAGTTAAGAACCCGTGATCTAAAGCATCATTTTTTTTTAATTGAATAAGGATAAATGACAAAAAAAAAAATTTGAAAAACAAACCCAGAATGTAATTGAACTGAAAAGGCAACTAATAGAAACTTGGAGGGGAAATGTGTTTCAATACAAAGCAAGCAATATAAACAGTAGATTAATTGGCATCATAGAAGATGCTGGGGATAAAAGAGAGCAGACATTGTTTCAGAGTACCTAACTAACAAAAAATTTCCAGGACGGAATCAGACAATATGCAAATAGAGAAAATACGCAGAATATCAGCACAGAGAAGCCAAGGCACAAATTCTCCAAACATCAAGAAAGAAAACAGAAAATTTCATTTAAAAAAACAAAATAACATCATACTTCTCCAAAAAACAGCAAAGAGAAAATGTTGATGCAGAATAAAAATATACATATGTAAAACTTTCTGTTATTTAATATTTTATTTTTCCCAATTATATATAAAAACAATTTTAACATTCTTTTTTTTCAAATTTTGAGTTCCAAATTCTCTTTCCAACCCCTCCCCCATAATAAGAAGGCAAGCAATTTGACATAGGTTATACGTGTGTGTAGTCATACAAAACAGATGTCCATGTAAGTCATTATGTGAAAGAAAACCCAGACAAAAAAAAACCAAGAAAAATAAAGAAAGTAAAGAAAGGGTATCTTTGATCTGCATTCTGGATTTACCAGTTCTCTCTCTGGAGAGAGAAAGCACTTTTCATCATAAGTCCTACAGAATTGTCTTGGATCATTGTACTGCTGAGAATAACTAAGTTACTCATAGTAGATCATCATACAGTGTTGCTGTTACTGCGTAAATGTTCCGGTTCTGCTCATTTCCCTTCGCATCAGTTCACATAAGTCTTGCCATGTTTTTCTGAGAGCATCCTGCTCATCACATCTTTAAGCATAACAGTAGTCTATCACAATAATATATAACAACTTGTTCAGCCATTCCCCAATTGATAGACATCCCCTCGATTTCCAATTTTTGCCAACACTAAAAAGCTGCTACAAATATTTTTGTACCCATAGTGCTTTTCCTTTTTGTTTCTATCTCTTTGGGATACAGATCTAGTCATGGTATTTCTTGGTCAAAGGGTATGCATGGTTTTATAGCCTTGTGGGCCTAGTTCCAAATTGCTCTCCAAAATGGCTGAATCACTATACAAAACTTTACCAATAGTACGTGAGTGTTTTGTTTTCCCATATCCCCTCCAATATTTGTCATTTTCCTTTTCTGTCATATTAGCCAATCTGACAGTAGCTCAGAGTTGCTTTAATTTGCATTTCTCTCATCAGTAGTGATTTAGAGCATTTTTATATGACCATAGATAGCTTAATTACTTTGTCTGAAAACTGCCTGTTCATATCCTTTTACGTTTATTAATTGAGGAATGGTTCTTATTTCTATAAATTTGACTCCATTTTCTATATGTTTGAGAAATGAAGTCTTTATCAGAGAAATTCACTGTAAAAAAATTTTTCACAGTAATGATTACCAACTATGTACTTCCCTCTTCCATTTTCCCCGTTTATACTACTTGTCTTTCTCTCCTTTTACCCTGTCTATTCTTAAAAGTGTTTTTCTTCTGACTTTTACCTCCCCCAAACTGGCTTCCCCCTTCTATCCCTGGGCTCCCCCTTCTCTAATCCCTTTCCTCTTCCTACTATCCTATATGGTAAGATAGATTTCTACACCTGACTCTGTATATTATTCCCTCTTTGTGACAATTCCGATGAGAGTAAGGTTCACATGCTTCCCTCCCTGCTTCCCCCATTTTCCCCTCCACTGTAAAATTTCTTTCAGGCCTCTTTTATGCCTGATTATTTATCCCATTCTACCTCCCTCTTTCCCCTTCTCCCAGTGCATTCTTTTTTTCTTATCCCTTAATTTTATTTTTTTAGATCATCATATCATCACATTCAGCTCACATCTCTGCTTTCTATGTATACTCCTTCTAACTGCCTTCATAATAAGAAAGTTTTTAAGAGCTATAAATATCATTTTCCCATGTAAGAATATAAACAGTTTAACCTTATTGAATCCCTTACGATTTCTCTTTCCTGTTTCCCTTTTTATGTTTCTTTTGTACCTTATATTTGAAAGTCAAATTTTCTATTCAGCTTTGATCTTTTCATCAGGAATACTTGAAAGTCCTCTATTTCATTTAATTTCTATTTCTGTTTTCCTGAAGGATTATACTCAGTTTTGCTGGGTAGATGATTCTTGGTTGTAATCCTAGCTCTTTCGTCCTCTGAAATATCATATTCCAAGCCCTCCAATCCTTTAATGTAGAAGCTGATAAATCATGTTATGCTGACTGTAGCTTCATAATACTTGAACTGTTTCTTTCTGTTTACTATTCTCCTGTACTATGCCTGGGTTTGTGAGCGACCACAGGCACTCTTTTTAACCCTGGAACTGTGACCAGGGTCCTGTTCCCCTGTGACCAGAAGCTCTGCTGCGCTAGTGCTCCTTAAGACCCAGGACTGTGACCCAGATCCAAGTATAGGATATGCAACAGAGTCCTACCCCTGATGCCACAGATTCAGTGGCTCCTAAAGCCTGCTCCAACTTTTAAAGATAAGATTGTAGCCCTGGATCACATAACCTCCAAAAACGATCATATTGAGTAAAAGAAAAAATATTTACTTCAAAAACATAGAAGACCTAGAAGGATACAGCAACAAAAGTCTACAACTGAAGAGACAACTACAAGCAACAGAAAATTAACTTGAAATTGATTGATAAAATTATTAACAATTATAGTTGATATTAATATATGCCCAGACAACCATATAATCTGTTCCAATCACAAAAGAGAAAAACTCAAAATGTATATAATAATGAAAAAAAAATAGTAAAGGTCCCTAAAATATATTCATATTTACTAATGCAACATATTTAACACAGATGAGAAACAATAACAATGACAGAGGAAGGGGAGAAGTTGGCAATTGGTCCTAAAGGCAAAACTCCTATCTATAATGGGGAGGGAGAAGCAAGGTTTAACTAAGGTAAAAACTAATAGTTTAAAAAATATGTAATATAATATTTCACTAACTTGGTCTTCTAATTAAAATAAATATGGATACTTGTTACAAATCTCTATTAAATATCTCCCATTCCTTCTCCTGACAAATGCTATGCTTTTATAAGTAGGAAAAGGGGTGTGTATATACACATACATACACACACACACACACACACACACACACACACACACATCTTAAAATCAATCATTTTGTATTCCTTTTCATTGCACTTACTCTACTAATACACAGTGGCACCCATCGTGCAAACGATAACCTGAGAGACTTGTGTAGAGCATTGTAAGGATAAGTGACTAACCCAGGGTCACAAAGCCAATATCAGAGGAAGGACCTGAATCCATGTCTTCCTGACTTTGAGGCCAGCTCTCTATCTATCACACCACAGTGCCGCCCATCTCTGTAACTTCTTTTTAAAGGCACTATCATATCTACTAATGTTATAGTTTATCTTATCCTCACAGCTCTGAGGTGGGGAGAATAGGTATTAGCATCTTCACTGTAATGACATGAGAAACTGAGACAAAGGGAAATTAATTGGTTTGCTCAATGATACAGAGCCAGTTGTGTTAGACCTAGAATCTCAGATGCCCCAGTTTGGAATTTAAAGCTCTTTGCACTCAAATATATCATGTGAATATAGTTATAATAGGTAATACAACTTAATTCTAATGGATTACATTTTCTTGTTCCTATAATATTTTATATTTGTAATTGAATGACATGAGTACCAATCACCATAGTAACAGCAGAATAGAGGAAATGTAGTTTCTTCATAATTGTTCCATGTTGGTATAAATCACATTATATTTCTCATAATAAATATTTCAGCCACAGAATAATTCAGTTTTTTTTAATTTGTGAAAAATAAGTTGTAGAAGTACACAGAATGGTACATATATGTATAGCCTTAAAAATAAACAGAAGATAATTATTTTATTCATTCACTGGCATCCATCTGCATTCTATTCTTTAGAATATGTCTACTTTAATCCTGTGATATATAGGCTTCTTTCTGCTATTTTAAAACTCTATTTTTAAAAAAAAGAGTACCAGTTATAACTCAAAATACAGAAGGGAATCTTATTTACTTTTAAAAACTTATTTAAAAGCAATCAATAATTCATTTTATAGAGAAGGCTAAAAGAGAATTAATAAAATATTTACCATGAGTGATTTGAGTAGTTGCTAGTTTAATGTTTAGAAATTAAATTTTCTGTACTCAGGATATTACTAAGCTTGAGTTTTCAGGTTTTGCTTTGGTTTCTTTAAGAGAAAAACATAAATGCTTTAATCATCCAATTTTCACATAAAGAGAGGACCATATAACAAGTTTTTTTTAAAAAGATATTTTTAAGAACTATATTATGATCAGTTAAAGGGAAAAGAAGTGGAAAGAACAAGCCAGTAAGCCAGACAGACATGGGCAGTGAGAAATAAGGGAAGAGAAGAGTACCAGAGGGAAAGGAAGAGAGCCAATCAGACCTGGAACAGAAAAATCTTAAATGATTCATGCCCCACTCCCTCCCATCCCTATTATCACCCCCACCCCCACTACAATTTGGAACTAGTATTCTTCTATTCCAATAAACAGCCAAAATTTACCTACTCTTATGCCCCTGTCCCCACCAATCAACATATCCCAACCAGCCCCTGCTTCCTAAAAAATTTATTTTTTCAGCTTAACAATTCATCCTGCAGCTCCATCCCTCTGCCTCCATTTAGCAAAATCCTCTACTGATCCATCACCGA